ATACTATGCAGCCATAAAAAATGATGAGTCTGTGTCCTTTGTAGGGACATGGATGAATCTGGAAACCATCATTCTCAGCAAACTGACACAAGAACAGAAAATCAAACACTGCATGTTCTCACTCATAGGCGGGTGTTGAACAATGAGAACACATGGACACAGGGAGGGGAGCATCACACACTGGGGTCTGTTGTGGGGGGCCAGGGGAGGGACAGCAGAGAGTGGGAAGGTCAGGGAGGGATAACATGGGAGAAATGCCAGATGTAGGTGACGGGGGATGGAGACAGCAAACCACATTGCCATGTGTGTACACATGCAACAGTCCTGCATGATCTGCACATGTACCCCAGAACCTTAAGTACAATTTAAAAAAAAGAAAAAGGAAAAAATAAAAGAAAAATGTCTGTTCATATCCTTTGTCCACTTTTTAATGGGGTTAATTTGTCTTTTATTGTTGTTGAGCTGTTTGACTTCCTTGTAGATTCTGAACATTAGTCCCCTGTCAGATGCATAGTTTGCAAGTATTTTCTCCCATTCTGCAGGTGGTCTGTTTACTCTGTTGATTATTTCTTTTGCTGTGCAGAAGCTTTTTGGTTTAATTTAGTTCTGTTTGTCTATTTCTGTCTTGATTACCTGTGCTTTTGAGGTGTTAGTCATGAATTCTTTGCTTAGATCAATGTTGATATGGTTTGGATGTTTGCCCTCTCCAAACTTCATGTTGAAATGAGATCCCCAATGTTGGATGTAGGGCCCAGTGAGAGATGTTTGGGCGATGGGGGTGGATCCCTCATGAATGGCTTGGCGCCCTCCCTGCAGTAATGAGTCCACATGAGAGCTGGTTGTTTAGCATCCCTCTGTTCCCTCTCTTGCCATACGATACGCTGGCTCCCCTTCACCTTCCACCATGATTCCAAGCTTCCTGAGGCCTCACCAGAAGCAGAGGCTGGCACTATGTGTACAGCCTGCAGAACCATGGGTCAAATAAACCTCTTTTTCTTATAAATTACCCAGCGTCAGATTTTCGTTTATAGCAATGCAAATGGACTAACACAAATTTCCAGGGGAGTTTTTCCTCAATTTTCTTCTAGGATTTGTATAGTTTTAGGTCTTAAACTTAAGTCTTTAATCCATCTTGAGTTAATTTTTGTGTACAGCGAGAGATAGAAGTCCAGTTTCATTCTTCTCCATATAGCAACCCAATTTTCCTAGCACCATTTATTGAATAGGGTGTCTTTTCCCCAGTGTATGTTTTTGTTAACTTTGTCAAAGGTCAGTTGGCTCTAAGCATGTGGCTTTATTTCCATTGATCTATGTCTGTTTTTATACCAGTACAATGTTGTTTTGGTTACTATAACATTTTAGTATAATTTGAAGTCAGGTAATGTAATGCCTTCAGCTTTGTTCTTTCTGCTTAGGATTTCTTTGGCTATTTGGGCCTTTTTTTGGTTCTATATGAATTTTAGGATTTTTTTTTCTAATTCTATGAAAAATGATGTTGGTATTTTGATAAGCAGTCTTATCTATAGATTCAATGTTGGTACATTGAATCTATAGACTGCTTTGGGCAGCATGGTCATTTTAACAATATTGATTCTTCCAATTCATGATCATGGGATGTTTTTCCATTTATTTGTGTCATCTAAAATTTCTTTCTTCAGTGTTTTATAGCTTTTCTTGTAGACATATTTTACATCCTAAGTTACATATGATCTTAGGTATCATCAGAGACTACTATAAACAACTATGAATCCACAAACAAGAAAACCTTGAGAAAACGGATAAATTCCTGAAATATAAACTCTCCCAATTGTTCCAGGAACAAGTAGAAATGCTGAATAAACCAATAATGGTAGTGAGATTGAATCACACAATCTCTCAATCAACAACAAAAAGCTCAGGACCAGTTAATTCACAGCTGAATTTCACCAAACATACAAAGAAGAACTAGTACCAGTCTTCCTGAAACTCTTCTGAACAAATCAAGGAGGAAGGAATCCTCCGTAATTCATTCTACAAAGCAAGTATCACCTGTATATCAAAGCTAGACAAGGACACACAAAAAAGAAAACTACAGACTAATATCCGTGGGGAAAATCAATGCAAAAATTATCCATAAAATACTAGCAAACTGAATACAACAGCACATCAAAAAGATGATACACAATGATCAAGTAGGCTTTTTTCAGGGGATGCAAGTTTAGTTAAATATACACAAATCAATAAATGTGATTCACCACATAAACAGAATTTAAAACAAAAACCTTACAATCATCTCAATAGATACAGAAAAAGCAACTGATAAAATTCCACATCCCTTCATGATAAAAATGCTGAACAAACTAGGCATAGAAGGAATATACCTAAATATAATAAAAGCCACATCTGACAAACCCATAGCCAATGTAATACTGAATGCAGGAAAGCTGAACGCATTCCCCCTAAGAACTAGAGAATGACAAGGATGACCACTTTCATCACTCCTATTCAACATGGTACTGGAGGTCTTACCCAGAACAATCAGGGAAATGCAATAAATAAAAGGCATCCAAATTTGAAAAAGGAAGTCAAAGTATCTTTGTTTGCTGATGATATGATCTAATACCTAGAATACCTTAAAGATTCCTCCAAAAGATGCCTAGGTTTGATCAATGAATTAAGTCAAGTTTCATGATGCAAAATTAATGTACGAAAATCAGTAGCATTTCTACACACTAATAACAAGCTGAGAACCAAATCAAGACCTCAATCCCATTTATAATAGCTACAAAAATTTTGATGATTTTAGACTTATGAAATTGCTTATGATTAAAACCAACAATCATACTGGAACAAAGCGTAGTGGATAAGAGCATGTACTCCAGAGTCATTTCAGACCTAGGTGGGAATTCCACTCTTTCCACTTAATAGAATTAATTAAAATACAGGAGACATGAGTAGCATTTTTTGAGCAGCTGCTTTGTATGAGGCACTATGGCTAGTGTGCTTTATTTAGGTTGCCTCATTAATTGAGAGTTTTGGAGTTTTTGAGGGTATTGTTTCTATTAGGATTACTCTCTTTAAGGAAATCGGCAGCAGAAATAGTCGTGTTATAGTTTACACTCCTGATTATCCTTTAATGCAGTTTTACCTAGGACATGGGAAAAGTGCAAAATTGCCTAATGCATATAGGCAGGAGTTCCCAGGAGACCTGTGAGTCAGGCTGAAATGTACTACATTCCAGCAAGAGAGCTTAATCCCTGGGAAAGAGAGGTCTTCAGTTCCCCTAGGATCCAGCCAGAGTTGGCTGGAGTACAGGCTGCACAATGACACTGAGATCAGCCCTAATGAGCACGTTGGGAGATAGCGTTCTATGAGCCTTTATAACCTTGAGAAATAATCCTGTCTTTTGCCTGGGGAAGCTGAAATCGGGTCATACATTCCAGGTGTTTCTAATGAACTCTGGACTCAATAGACCCTGACTTCATTGCCTGTGAGTCAAAGGTCTCAGAGTTTTTTATTAGGAATTTTCCATCCATGGAAGAGAATTGGAGAATTTGAAGACACCTAGAACTGATCCATAATCTGACAGGTGAGGATTTGGAAGGGGTAGGACAGACGGACGGACACACACACACACACACACACACACCCCTACCTTCCTTCCCAGTCTGATGACCAGGTGATCAGGCAGCAGTTTCCTGGGAAAGTGCTGAGTCTTTACCTAAGGTCAGAAGCTTCTCTATGAACCAAAGAACAAACGGAGGACTAAAATAGTCACAAAAGCTTCTAAGGCCAAACTTCTACAAGATCAATATGAGGTGGTTTCTCCTACCAGCTCACTAGGGCAGCAGAAAAACAGACCGGTTATGTTCAAGCCAAAAAGCCAGGGTGATACCTTTCACCTTCCTTCCCTCTGGTTAAAAGTAAATATTAGAGAAATGCAGTACAAATGTAGGGGTTAAGGTGCAGGTGAACTAAAATGACAGTTCCCAGAGCAGATATAGATGCATAGCAGAAAAAAAAACAGAACTTTTTTCTCTCAAAGCAATTTTTATA